TTGCAGATTTTATTTTCACCAACAAGAACATTACGAGCAGCAAGATCACGATGAACACACTGAAATCGTAACACTTAATGGTMATTTTTTGCACTAAGGTCTTGTGTTCACAAGAATGTGATGACAAGCCTARKAAGWCAGCATGACATSTMCACTTGAYCTTTAACACTGACCTTATTTTCCRCTAAGAAACTCATGCCATCAGCTATCATCCACGCGAACTTCAACAAATCACGTGACGTCAACTTTGTCTCTGGACGAAGATCTCCYGARCAGTAGGTATCTTCATGACCACGTGATCGCCTTAAGTARCCAATTAGATCGCCGTATGGCAAATACTCGAGGATAATGCACATTGGTCCTATAAAAATAGTATAGTGGGAGTGAATTATTTTCTTTTTCGTAAGGATGGTGTGCGGTGATTGGCGCAATTTCATCCGCATTATAATTCATACTGCATTAATTCAGAAATAGATTTCCTTAGGAAAATGAGCCTATTGGAAGTTAGGTGATGCTATGAATGTCTGATGTACTTACCATCGGACTTCGTGCAGCACCCTAATAGTTTAACAACATGAGGATGGGGTTCCAGTCTCATCATYAGTCGAAGCTCTGTCAGGAAGTTTTCTTTGTCTTTATCTCCCACATTTTCTGATTGAGTTCGATTGGAAAATATTTTTGTCGTGAGCCTATTATTAATTTTTTTTTTATTTCTATGCTATGCATCGGAATGACGCAATCACCGTAAACATAAATGTTGAAAAGATATGTATTGCTAAAGATATCTCTTGGCTACATTGCTCTTTCCAGTGACAAGGCAACTGTTGCCTCAYTAGTGGTGATTTTATACTGAACATTATATTACCTTTTAAGGTCTTCACAGCAACTGTTACTTGTCCAGGGCATACGTGCAAACCAGTGGTTGTYGCTTTATCAACACAACCGAAGTTTCCTTCACCAAGTCTCTTAATCACTGACAGGTTTTTTCTTGGTACTTCCCATAAGATTTCATCCGAGAAAAAAGCGTAAAGTTCATTTGAGGTCTTTCCACCGGAAAGGCCATCTGCAACAATAACSACTTGATCATATTCTCTGTCAATATGAGTACGTCTTTCTTTCTGTGTAAGAAATATATCCGGAGGCAAGTGTTAGAATTGTGCACCGGATAAAAAAAAGGACAATGTGGAAGAACCAGAGTGCTTCCATAAAGACAACTCATCTCTRTCCGTCTGAACTGCATTTTTATCTCTAACCTACAATGTGTGTGATACCTCTTTAGGAGGGCTCTGTGTACGAAGCAGTCCCRACTTTCGTAAGATGTAGACAACAATAAGAGGAGCAACTGTCAACAAAGCAAGTGCGAGCATCGACGCAAGAACAGGAACTGTGACATCAGTTGTATTGTCATTGCTAATCTTGTTATCTCTTTTKCCTGGTATTGAGAAGAATGTCTACACTGATGAATGAAATCTGATGAATGAATATGATTTTTTTTATCAGACATTAYTGCTGAAGACTTCAAATGACTCCTTGGAATACCTTGTGTAATCATKATCTTTGTACTTCCTACAGGTCCTAAACCAACAAGCGTAGAAGCACGAACCTGTTAATGAAAAAAAGGTATCTCGAGATGCATGCATGCACTGTTTCTTCTAATGACTATCGCTGACTTCAAAGTCCCACGTTCATCTCTAATAACCTTTGCGACGGTTTGTTCGGTTTTACAAATGATCTCTCGAAGTTGAAATAAGATCTTGTCTGAATGGTTCAAAGACAAAGTTGGCGAATTTTTGTATGTGAGAAAATTGTGCAAAGGTTTTTGGACGGATGTGGCATGTGGTCTTTGTCAGTAAAAGCGTGGACAGTCAAACCAAACTTTTGTATCGTTTCTGCTTTAGAATGAAACATTAAGAACTTACCTGGAAGTAGTACTCTTTGTCTTCTTGTAGTCCAGTGATAGTTACACTTCTTTTTGATGTATTCAAAACTCTCTGCTTAGACTTCTCACCGACAGGATAATAGCTGATTTTTGCCAGSTCAGTGATAGTTACACTACTTTTTGATGTATTCAAAAMTTTCYGYTTAKAYTTCTCACCGACAGGATGATAGCTGATTTGATAATATGTTATGATACCATTTTGCTCTCTCAAGGTCCAGCTTAGAAGCACCGAAGTGGAGTCTAACACTTCCGTATTCAACACTGGTACTCCTGGAACTAAAGTCAAAGTAAGTAAGCYATCTGATTTTCTCCTCTCATCAATTTATGGAAACAAATAGTTCAAGAGACTTTGTATAAACAAATATATTTGAAGACAACTGATGAGGCAACGACTCGTAATATATCAATCTAAACGTTTGATTTTTTCGTGATGGAGTCTGAGAAAATGGCTAAAAAAACTTACAATCCCGAAATAATATGTCCCTCAAACCATACTCAAAGTGAAAATTACTTACTCGATTCGCTTGTTCTTTGTCTGATTATTGCATAATTTGGCTTTCGTGCATTGCTTTCTGCTAAATACGTGACTCCGTTCTTTGCGAATATCTTGAATTGGTAATACCTGTAGGCAGACAGATGTTTCACTGTGGCCTTTCTACTGTTCTTTGGAGTGTGAATGATTTCAACCTCACCACATCTTTCACTGCAGTTGTTTCCTTTATTGTCACACTTTTGACATTCCACGTCATAGTAAACGTCTGTCCGTCCACCAAGATTGGAAGGGGTCMTCCATTTTATAACAGTTGAAGTAGCATTTAGAAATGTTGTCCTGATATCTTGAGGTACTGAAGGCTGTGCTTAAATTACCAAGAAACCTTTTACAATTAATGAAATGCTATTTACAATTTTGTGGCTTGGTGCAAAAGGTCATCAAATCATATTGTATGTCATTCGTGCGGGCTCCCTGTGCTTTTTAGTTTTTGGCTGCCTTTAGCGAATCCATGCCATATATGGAAACAAACAAAATGGCCGATTGTTGAGAAGTGTTTTCGCTATAATATCTGYAAGTTTCAGACGATTTCAAGCTTTAAAAGTCGAGAAAATCGACAAAAACCATTCCTATCGTACTTCCAAATAAGGTAMGATTACCATATATGGCTGCTAAACGAAGGACAACTTTTGTGGGGCAATTCTTTGATATGCTTCTCTAATGAGGATAATACGCTCGAGATGTATTCTATGTATAGTTTAAAACGACTTCAAAAACTCAAACACTAATTTTCCGTTAAAACTCTTGGAGAAATTGTCGTAAAAATACGTTTTGAGATAAATGGGGAAACCTAATCATGCGCGAATCACTTTACAAAGCACTCTTGTCATCCAGCATTAAATAAGCATACAGTAAAATAGAAGCGCTGTTGGCTGTCTCACTGCATTCAGTTGACATCCTGCATTGGTCAATGATCAGGTATCAAACCTTTATATCTGATAAAGGTCACCCTTATTAGTATTCTTTATATAATTAACACTAATAAGGAGTGTTTTATCAGATATAAATTTAAATTTTTAGGTCCATGCATGTGACCAAATAGGTTCATTCTATTGGCCTAATAACTCGTTAATTATGCATGAGTTTTTGAAGTACTTATGATGCCTACCTGTGCAATTTTCAAATATTGTTTCATTCTTCGTTCTGTGGAAGGAAGGAGCACAAATACATTTCTTTCTGTCCACATCTTGTACACTATTTGCTGGACATGTTTTACATGCATTACTACTTGGCATATCTTGGTAGGTTCTAAGTGGACATTCTGTGCGAAACAAAACATAATTGAATTGTAGTCTAACTATGAATATGGTATTGAAAAGCAATAATGTTGATATTTTGTATCGAAGGGAATTGATATCTTCTAGAAATATTACACAAATTAGGTTGATAATTGCAAAGATGATTTATTATATACATATCGATGAGATACCAGGTTTTCTCTAGTTGTGAAAATGCTATATTTTGAACCATGAAAAGATATCATATCTTTCACATGTGAAGATATAATTGTTGGCATGGTGACACTGCATCTTTTCGGCCAATTAGATCAATTTTTATATAAAGACCGATAGATCGATATGTATATAATAAATAGAACATTACATGCCCGCTTGGAAATACTAATTTTATCTTCTCGTGTTCAACTGATATCGATTGAACACTCGAAGATAAAATTAGTAATTCCGCGCGCCCATGTAATATCCTCTATTTCTGAAATAATRAACCTTTGCAAACTGCACCAGATCCATTCAGGTACTTTCCATAACCAGCTTTACACAAACATTCGCCACTTGCCGYGTCGCTGCTCCATTCACCGTTAGCTTGACAGTGACCATATAATGTTGCATTGTTAGYCAATGAGTGAGCATTTTCTGCACATGAGCCTGGTACCATAATTGTACCGTTAGCTGGGGCTATAGTTCGAGGTAATTGGACGAGACCAGTAGAAAGAGCTAACGATGGACAGACCGAGTAACTTATGGTCACACTGTACAACTCAAAACATCCTCCTTGATATTGTATAGCGAAGTAATGGTACGGTGTACTAATGCTAGTGAGAAATGAATATGTTTCGGTATTCACAAGACTTCGTGAAGGAATTCCGTTACTAAAGTTCGTTGCAGACGTGGTCCCGAATATATGATAGACTTCGGGTTTTTTCCAAGGTTCCGGGATTGCATTACTACCGYCGACAATTAAACTATGATGTATTGCAGTGTTATAAACATAAAGTTTTAATCTTTCCTTGCAGTATGCCAAAGASACACTAGCACATTTAAGAACTGCGTATTGAACAGTAACATCAATTCTTGTTTCATCAYCAACCGAGAACACATCACTTCTTATCCACTTGTTTGTGTTACTGTCTGAGTTTTCACATCGTTGATAAAATGGTCTTCCATCTTCTTTGGGATCCCACTATTGAAAACAAAAAAATAGACTCCTAACTATATAATATATACTACATGTATATGTCAGTGCTCACCATTTTTAACACCAAAATATTTGATAACCATGAAACGAAAGAAAGTTCTTCTTTTACAATTAATTGGATGAAATAGAGCAGAGTCACTTGAACCATGAAATACAAACTAAATACTTAGTAACAAAAAGGCACTATATTTACACACTATCACTGAACCAGAACAGTACAAAGAATAAAGAAAAGAGATTACCTTGATTGTTATAGTGGTCTCTTGGGTATTGCTCATTGGCTCATATAAACTCTTTTGGCTCAGTGATAACGATTATTAGGAACTAATAGTTCCTATTAGTAAGTACTTTGTAGTTTCTATTGCATGGTTCAAGTGATTGTGCTCTATTATGTGCCAGTACGAGTAACTCTAAGTTAAACAGACGTTTTCCTATTTTCGCTTTTATATGGGAAATTATCACTGGTGTAAACATCTGCTGAGAATGAGGTCCAGCATACTTCAATAGTCAAAATCGTTGTGATATATTATGTCACTGCATTGCAATGCCTTCAATGTTTTACCTGGCCGCTCCAAGACCATATCCATTTAGACTGTGAATTCTTATGAGGCACTTCAATAATAGTGTCTAGTATTAAGAAATGAATACGTACGTATTTAGGTCTCATTTACTGAATAAATAGTTGCCATGATCATTCAGTTATGCCGCTGCAGGAGTAACAAGGCTATCAGAAGAGGTTAAACCAAACATTTGACCCAACACATTTATCTCCATTGCGCCGTATATTCTATATAAATAAACTTTGTGTAATGCATACCTTTTCCAGATTCACTACATGCGAGTAAGATAAATACGAGAATAAAGCTTGAAGTAAACGTGATCTTCATGCTAACAAATAACCCATGAAACGGCATTTACAGTAAAGTTCTATTTGCTTAAACTTGTCAGTTACAAGTTCGTTTTATCATA